TCAAACGAGTGCTCCTGCTGCGCAAAGGCATGAAGGTGCTGGCCAGGCTGAGCCACGTTTTGGGGTTTGACTGCCAACCCCAGAGCTGGGTTCGTCCCTAAAGTCGCTCCACCCTGCACTTGTCTGTCCACGGAGCCACCGAGGAGCACCTGGGCTCTGTCCCCCAACACACTCACACTTTGAGCCACCAGCCTCTCACCATCCCAGCACCTGTAACACCAGCTGCACCGACACCTGAAAACACACCAAGCCCCCAGCCCTGCGAGCCACCCCGCTGGACATCACCCTCCAGCCCTTCGCACCCATCTGCCCTGATGTTCTCCCGGGGCCATCGCTTTCCACCCCAGCACCGTCAGCCTGATCCTCCCTGTGACAACATCAGCACGAGGGATGTGACAACCGAGGCTGTTCGCCTTAAGCTGACAAAAGCTCCAGCCAGCAGCATCAGGGCTATGTCACTGACACTGGGTGGTGGCTGGCCTGTCTCCAGCACCGTTGGGACATCTTGGAGCTGCGGCTCTCTACCTGGAATATGTTGACGTGGATGTAGGGATGGGCCAGGAGGGAGCGGATGAGCAGCATGCAGAGCAGGGCAGACCACGGCGACTGGAAGCCCGAGACGTGGAGCAGCAGCCAGTAATGGCAGTAAAGTCCCAGAAACATGCAGCAGAGTGTCCGGAGAGCTGCTTTCCACTCCACTTTCCTCAACAAGTCTGTGTGAGGAAGAAGAGACCGCACATGGACAAGGTGATGCTTCCCCACTACTGCTGCTCCAGCAGCCAGGCTGCCTGGCACACTGATAAATCTACAGCCCAGCCCATCCTTCATCTCCCTTTCCCCAGCCTGTCAACCTGTTGTTTTTTTAGGATTGGGGCCAGGAACCCCCCTCAGGCAGTGGGGCAGAGGCTCCAGCTGTGCATCATCCCATGGGGATTTGGCCGCATCTTTGTTTCTTACAACTTGCCAAGTCATTGTCTGCGTTTTTGGCATTGCCCAGAGCTGTGTGTTCAGCCCAGTGGGGTTCCTCAGCTTCTTACTATTTTCTAGGCTGTTCTCCCCCATCATTTCCTGGCACCATTATTTCCCCCCGAGCCACTGCCTTGTCTGCCCGAGCTCGTTGCATCCCGGCCCCTGTAGACCCCCACACCTCCACCTCGCACACAGTCAGCAAAGTCACTGTGATGCTCTGACCAACCAGAGACCTACATGTAACACTGAACCCTGCTATGGCCAAGGGTCTGAATTAAAGGAGAGCAAATTTGGGGTTGCTTCAGGCTCATGATGGCTTTTGCCTGAGCTTCCAACACTTGACCCAACCATAGGAAAATGTGAAGCGTTTCTGGGCACCAGCAGAAAGGAGAGATGCAGCAGATGCCTTCCCCAGAGCAGATGCAGCATCACCTATGTTTGCTGCAGCCCTGTGTCCCACTGTGGGCTGGTGTAGGCCATGTGGTGCCTTCAAATAAAGCAGGACCCTTTGGTGGGGTGAGACCTGGATGGTTATGAGCTCACCATACCCAGCACCTTGTCCCAAGGCGGCTGGGACACATACCAAGAGCAACCAGAGGGGTTATGATGGGCACTGCGAGAGGGG